AGCTGCTCTGCAGATGGAGCGTTGTCTCCTCCCACCTCTGAACATGTACACCAACAGCGTAACGTGTTGTTCGCTGCGGCCGTCTGGAACGCATGCTGGTGAGCTCCGTCGAAGATCGGTGTCACTGTATTGATTACGCTAACAGGAGGCGCGGGACGCTAGTCCACCTGGACATCTTGCCTCCGTCAGGCTCGGTTCCAGGGGGCACTGAGGGAAAAACCGCTCGGTGAAAACCCCTCTGCTCTGGTGATGGGCGCAGGCTGTGGGAACCGGGCCCCCAATCCACCAGGAAAACCGGCTGTGGCCTCGTCCCGTAGGATGGCCTGTTGGGAAAAACGAGGCCAGATGGGGTCAGGACGGTGAGCCGGAAAAGGAGCCTGGAAAAAGAACCCTCCCGCCGGATCATCCGAACTGGCGGGAAAAGGCGCGGGACGTAAAAAAGGTCCCTTCATGTCAGCCACTCCTGGGTTACGCGGGCAACCCCAGAGGGTGCCGTCGGCCGGGAGCGGTGTGATCGCCGATGCGAAACGAGGTGGGATGAGGTGAGCATTCGCTCAGCCCCCCTCCACCAACACTACGCTCTCCAGGAGGGAATGAGCCGCGGGGGGCCGCTGCTGACACTGCCTGTCCCGGAGGAACCATCCGATTCGCTCCGAGTGTCGGCGATAAGAGGCAAATTACAAGATGGCATTGTCCAGCGTGTAGCGACCTGTCACTGAGAAATACTCCTCGGTGCTTACCTTGAAACAAGACTGCTCGTCAGCTTCTCCTTGGGGAGGAGAGCTCACCGGACGACCGGAGGTCGACGTGACGGGCCAAGCATTCTTAGCAAAGGTTGGTCATCTACACAACTTTCCTTCTTTGTTCTTCTGACAGTGCTATTAGCTCGCTGAAGAAAAATGGTAGCCGATTACCCGCTCTTTACGTAATTTATACGGACCGGGTGGGGCCCACAAAGCAGGTGGGCGTGGACTAAATTTTTTCAGTGTAGTGCTTTCGCATAACGGGATAAACCATCAGCACAGCCTTAAAGGGCAAAGCTTATACGAAATAGAACAATTGTTTTACACTGGATGTCCTTCCTGACACAACCACAGACCACGAGCTATCACAACCCTCTGTGTGGAACAGAGAGCTGCTATCAAGGAAGCCCAGGGGAGCAGATAGTGGGGGTTGAGGGCCTTGCTCAAGGGCCCAGAGTGGGGCACATGATGGTGGCGGCAGGTATGGTGGGTGCTTCACCGTTACCACCCACATTTTGATGTTGTCAGTCCGGGGACTTGAACTGGCAACTTTCATGTGCCCACCTTCTCCAACCCCTGCGCCACCACTCCCCCCTTTTTGTAGAATTATATTTTTTTCAATGAATTAAAAATCTAAAGAAACACAGGCTGTAAGGAATCATAACAGAGGGGTGAATACCTTTGCACCTCACTGTACAGGTCCTTCTAAAAAAATTAGCATATTGTGATGAAGGTCATTATTTCCCATAATGTAATGATAAAAATGAAACTTTCATATATTTCAGATTCATGCACGCCAATTGAAATATTTCAGGTCTTTAATTGTTTTAATACTGATGATTATGGCATACAGCTCATGAAAACCCAAAATGCCTGTCCCAAAAAATTGGCATATCATGAAAAGGTTCTCTAAACAAGCTTTTAACCTAACCATCTGATTCAACGATGTAACTCTAAACACCTGCAAAAGATTCCTGAGGCTTTTAAAAACTCCCAGCCTTGTTCATTACTCAAAACTGCAATCATGGGTAAGACTGCCGACATGACTGCTGTCCAGAAGACCATCATTGACACCCTCAAGCAAGAGGGTAAGACACAGAAAGAAATTGCTGAACGAATAGACTGTTCCCAGAGTGCTGTATTAAGGCACCTCAGCGGGAAGTCTGTGGGAAGGGAAAAGTGTGGCAGAAAACGCTGCACAACGAGAAGAGGTGACCGAACCCTGAGGAGGAATGTGGAGAAGGGCCGATTCCAGACCTTGGGGGACCTGCAGAAGCAGTGGACTGAGTCTGGAGTAGAAACATCCAGAGCCACCGTGCACAGGCGTGTGCAGGAAATGGGCTACAGGTGCCGCATTCCCCAGGTCAAGCCACTTTTGAACCAGAAACAGCGGCAGAAGCGCCTGACCTGGGCTACAGAGAAGCAGCACTGGACTGTTGCTCAGTGGTACAAAGTACTTTTTTCGGATGAAAGCAAATTTTGCATGTCATTCGGAAATCAAGGTGCCAGAGTCTGGAGGAAGACTGGGGAGAAGGAAATGCCAAAATGCCAGAAGTCCAGTGTGAAGCACCCACAGTCAGTGATGGTCTGGGGTGCCATGTCAGCTGCTGGTGTTGGTCCACTGTGTTTTATCAAGGGCAGGGTCAATGCAGCTAGCTATCAGGAGATTTTGGAGCACTTCATGCTTCCATCTGCTGAAAAGCTTTATGGAGATGAAGATTTCATTTTTCAGCACGACCTGGCACCTGCTCACAGTGCCAAAACCACTGGTAAATGGTTTATTGACCATGGTATTACTGTGCTCAATTGGCCTGCCAACTCTCCTGACCTGAACCCCATAGAGAACCTGTGGGATATTGTGAAGAGAAAGTTGAGAGACGCAAGACCCAACACTCTGGATGAGCTTAAGGCCGCTATCGAAGCATCCTGGG